AGGGGAGCCTCAGCAAGCCAGGTCCCCATCTTCTGGAACCACAGGGGACCGGGGGCGTGGCGCGGTATGGAGCTGTGCAGGAAAAAGACTGAGCAGCGGCTGAGTTGTGTGTTTGACAAAACTTCCCTTTAAAGGCTGGGGATTTAGCTCAGCGGCATAAGTGCCTGCCTTGCAAGCAGGCAGTTGTGAGTTCGATCCCCGGTACTGGTAAAAACGAAAAAGACAAAAAAAAAAAAAAAACAAAAACAAAAAAGGAGAAATGAAGACCTTCCCAGGCAGAGCCTACCTCACCACAGGAAGTCCTGAGGGCCTTTCCGGGGCCAGGGGGAAGGGGGCTGGGGTCAGGGGGAAGGGGGCTGCCGCAGTTGGGAACCGAGGGGAAGACAGGATGCTGACTGACAGGCCACCTTGTGATTGCACTTTTGGGTCAGTTTGTGACTTTTTCCTGTGTGATTGCTGGCAAGCAGTCTGTGCCACAGCAGTGCAAAGCACAGGGATGCGGCATCCGAGCTTTCCCGGCCTGGAAGCGCGGCTCCCTGCTCAGACTGACTGTGGAGCCCCTCGAGAATTTTAAGTCTTCAACTAACCAAGTGATAGAAATATACCCTTTATCCATATTCACATTAACTGCTGCTAAAAGGAAAAATTGGCAGATACACTACAGCTTTAAGATCACAAAGGGGTGGGCTGGGCCAGAAAGCTGCTTCCTGTAAAAGGTAACCAGATAACACAGACCTCAAGTCTGGCGGCAGTTCTGTACACGGGAGCGTGTCACCCTGGGAGGGTTCGCTGGGAGAGGATGTGATAGCTGTGAACATGAGCACTTAGCAACATAGCACTGGATGGCAACTTTGCAGTGATTTTGGGAGCTCACACTCCACTTTGAGAAGTGGATGCAGCAAGCAGACAAATGGGGAGGGAAACAGAGGTCCCGATCCTGTGCCTTGACTCCTCCGAGGGCCTGCCCTCTGGCAGCAGCTGGGTCTGTCTGGCACTGACCCTGGGGGGCCATGAGCCACCCCTAATGCTAAATGTTTGAAATCCTGTGAAGGGAACAGAACAAAACAAACAAATGGAAAGGAAATCAAAGGGAAATTAGAAAATGGCCAGAGGGATGAGAGCAGAAATGCAGCTCCCCAAACCCTGGGCAGCAGTGCAAACCACGCTGGAGGGAATGGGCTGCTCGGAAGAAGACTCGAGCCTCAGGTTTAGAACCCAGTGGTGCCTTAGCCTAGTTGTTAATTGGTTCGGGAGACACAGTGTGTACCAGACGTGACGAGTACCAGATGGTTTTGGTCATGAGGCAATCAGTGCCGACAAGTACTATCTTGTGTGTAGTACCAAACTAATGGGACAAACTGTCCCTGTAGTACCAACTACAGGGACAAAACTGTCACTTCAAAATGCATTGACAAACCTGCTGAGCAAGGTCAGGCATCTATAATCCCCATGCTTGGGAGGCTGAGGCAGGAGGATCACTATGAGCTCAAGTCCTTTCTGGGCCAAATAGTGTGTTGAAGGCTGAACTACATAACGAGACCCTTGTCTCAATGAATAGATAAATAAGTAAGTAAACAGGTAGCACTGGATAACAAATTTCAAAGCAGTCAAGAACCAAGGCATGACTGTATATGAAGAATGAGAAGTCAACTGGGAATGCTGACACAGATCTGCAGCCCCACCACTCCAGAAGGCTCAGGCAGGAGAATCACATGCTCAAGCCCAGCCAGGGTAGTTTAGTGACTTCGCAAGATCCTATCTCACAGAATATAAAAAAGGCTGAAGACAGGAGGCATGAAGGCCCCATGAAAAGGCAGTGAAGAATCAGTTCCTCTGTCTGAGTCCTCGGCAGTGGGCCTGGGTCCCCATCTTCCTGGGAGCAGTGCCAGCTCATCCCCTCGCTGTGACAGAAAGTATGGAGCTGAGAGAGCAGCATTCCCAGACCCTGTCCCTGTGGCCTGGAAATGCGGAAGGCTCTGGGTCCCCTCCCTAGAACCAAAAAGGAAAGATCTGCTTCTGGGACAAAGCAGGCCGTGCGGGCTGAGGGGTGCTCAGATGACCTGGCTGACCAAGGGGCCTGCAGGACCCCGAACCAAGGGGGACCAGGTACACAGACTGGGTGGGTACCAGAGGTTTAGGATGGGTGGACCCTGGGGCAGGGGCGGCCAGGTGAGAGACTGGTTGGCAGCTGAGGGGCCACAGGACTGGATAAACCTGGTGCTCTGTGCAGGGCGCAGCCTGGGCGATGCAGCCTGATAATGTGGGCTCTGGTTGTGCAGGCTCTGGTTGTGCCTGAAGTCCCTGCTTCTTGGGACTCTATCCTGGGCCCCTCAGCCCCTTTCTCCCACCCCAAGTGTAAATTCTGAGAAAGCAGAGAGCCGTGTCTTTCACCCCGGACCTTGCACAGTGACTGCCTGAGTTGATGCTCAAATATTTGCAGACAGCTGCGGAGAAAACCTCTGGGCTGCTGGCTGCTGGTGCACAGTCCCCAGCCTGAGCAGATGGCCTGCCCTGTGCCACACAGGTCCCCCATGTGAAGTTTCACCTCGGCCTCCCACATCTCACCAGATAATCGTGCCCTCAATTCAGGGCAGAGCAGCGGAGAAATGCCAAGGCCCAGTGCCCTTGTGACGCAGCATGAAGGTCTCTGGTTTCCCCAGGGACAGTACAGATTGTGGAGCCGACTGCTGGGTTGGAAACCTGGCTTAGTGACCTTGCGCAGGTACCAAATGACTGTGCCTCACCAGTAACGTGCACGCTCTCTCCAGGGGTATTTACATGGTCAGGGCATGTAAAGTTCAGAGTAGTTCCTGGCATATGCTGAACATCAGAATTTCCTGTTACTGCTACCTTGCTAATTTCTACATCCATAGCCTAAAAGTATGAGCATACTCAGGAGGCTGAGGCAGGAGGATTGCTATGAAAGTGAGCTTAGCATGGGCTGACATAGTTCAAGGGCAGTGTGAACTACATAGAAGATCCTGCCCCAAAAATAAATAGATCAACTCAAAGCGTAACAGATTTTTTTTTTTTTTTTTTGAGTCTCACTAGGTGGTTCAGGCTGGCCTTGGGCTCACTTTGTAGCCCAGGCTGGTTTTCAATTTGCAGTGCTCTTCCTGTCTCAGCCTCCCGAGTGCTGGGATTACAGGCATGCACCACCACGCCCAGCTAAGCATAGCAGGTTTCAAAATGTATACATGTATTCTAAACGTAAAACAAAACCAGGGCGGTGGGTGCCTCCTGTGCTCACTGTGCAGATGCTGCAGTGAGCCTCAGTACTCCTTGCACTATGTCCTAACCGTTCACGGGTCTCCCTGTCAGCAGACCCTGTATTCCTAGCACCTGGCATGTGATTCTACTACAAGGAACAGTTTTGGTCAATAAAACCGGGAAGAAGCTAGGGAAAAGTGAACTTTTATTTTAATGAGGCAATGGGATAGTGTGATTGTATTTTGTTGTAAGTATTTCAAATTTAAAGTTCAGCAAGAGTTGAAGAGGTATTTTGTAAGAGGCTGTATCCAAGTGGCCAATAGAAAGCATATAGAGAATTTTCAGTATTGTTTCTTTTAGGGAAATGTAAGTTAAAACTGTATTTTAGCTGGGGATGCAGCGCAGGGACAGAGGAGCCCTTGCCACTAAAGCCCTGGGTTCAGTCTGCAGCCTCGGAAAACAGAAACAAGCAAAACCCTTCAGCGAAATGCCACCCCTGCCGCAGGGGGCACATGGAACAGGCTGCGCATTCCAAGAGGTGCAGGGCTTGGGGGCCGGAGTCCGTCGTCCTGGTGATGGTGGGTGGGGACATAGATTTGTACAGCCACTTGGGATGGAATGTACATGGAGGTGACTTAGAAACTGTCCTTGGAATGCACAGGGGACAGTGTGGGTGGCCTCCGGGAGCAATATCCCAAAGGTGTCCATGCCAGAGGGGGGATAGGCGTGTGGTGGCCACCCAGCAGCACCCAGCAGCACCCAGCCTTGGGGATGAACAGGTCAGATGGGAGAGGGTTTCCATGAAGGCAGTCATACCAGGGTGTGTGGCGCATGGGTGAAGACCATCTGTGTGACACCCAAAAGGAACAGCCTGGGGCTAACACTGTAGTGCAGTGGACAGTGGTGTGTGGCGAGCGCAGGACCCTAGCTTCAGTCTCTGAGGTCAGAGACAAGATGGGTTGTTGTGGTGCAGCCTCCAAGAGCTCATCCTGGAGTGGCAGGGGTGCCGGGAAGGCCTGCAGTTTGACCCAGGCGATGCTCACACAGGGACGCATCCAGCGCATTGCACTGTGTATTTGAGGTCCATATGCTGTACCGGGTACAAAATTATTATTATTATTTATTATTACTATTATTTTTTGGTACCGGGGATTGAACTCACAGCCTTGCTCCTGCCGGGCAGGCACTTATGCCACTGAGCTAAATCCCCAGCCCTCTGGGTACAAAATTATTGCTAAATTTTGAAAAGTTTTTTAAAAAGTGAGACCTAAAACCAAATGCCAACTTCTCAGTGTGAAGCCAAAGTTTTGTGTTCTTTTTTTCTTTGTTTTGTGTTTTGAGGCAAGGTCTTCCCATGAGTTCAGGCTGGCCTTAAACTCACTGTGTAGCCCAGCTGGCCTAGAACTTGTGATGATCTTCCTTCCTCAGCCTTTTGGGATTACAGGCATGCACCCCACGCCTGACCATTCTTTGAACAGAGCCACTGCCCCACCATCTAAAGCCTAGTCCCTCTGGGTTTTTTTGTCTAACTCGACAGGGAAGTTTTAGGTTTTGCTCTTGGCGTCTGGCCTTTATGAAGTCTGGAAACTCTTAGCAGTTGCACTCCCTTGTCCACTTCATGTAGCTAAAATAAACTGTAACAGCCAGATGGAGGTGGCGTCCCAGCTCTGACACTTGGTGATTCTAACCTGTTGGGCGGCTGCAGTGGCCTCCAGCTGAGAGCATTTCCCACGCCACTGTGGGCACTGCCTCTGGCCAGTCGACCTCACCTCTCGCCTTGCCCCCTGCAGCTACCCCCTGCTAAAGCTGCCCCTGCCGGGCACTGGCCCTGTGGAGTTTGCCACCCCAGTGAAGGACTACACCCCGCCCCCTGCTGACCCTGAGCCCTGGCCGGGGGAGCCCAGCGAGCGGCCAGATTGGGTAGGTGCTGAGTAGAGAGCCTGTGGGGCTGGCCAGGGAGGGCATACATGGTCAGCCTCAGGCCCCACCGCACAACCTGGTGGAGGTGCAGAGATGCCTTGAGGGGACCAGCCAGACACCAGAGCATGACTGTGCCAAGGAGGTTGCGCACTCCTGCACAGGCTGGGGGATAGGCCCTTTCCTCTTCGCCCACAGTGATCAGAGGAGAGATCCTCCCCAGCATCTGTCCTCAGGGTCCCACACAGCTGGTATTTGCAGTGTGCACCAGCAGTTTTCACATCTCTTAGGTTCTACTTTATTCCCATGATCTACACGGAAGGAAGAATTGCAGGCTTTTAGTGAGGGTAAGAAGGCAGCTAGGAGGCTGTGCCATGCACCAGAGAGCCCAGAGCAGTGTGCCTGGGTCTTGGGGTGCAGGTGCCTGGTGCTTCGCGGCTCTGCCCTGAGTAGGGGCCTGGCTCTCGAAGCCCATGGAGCTGTGCTGTGCCCACTGTGCCAAGCTGACCGCTCTACTCCTCTCGTCTCCTCTGCAGTATGTGGGTACCCCAGTGGCCTATATCCAGCAGATATTTGTGAAGACCTCTGTGTCACCCTGGCATAAGAACCTCCTGGCAGTGGATGTGTTCCGTTCCCCTCTGTCCCGGGCTTTCCAGCTGGTGGAGGAGATCCGGAATCATGTGCTGCGAGACAGGTACTGGGGACCTGCTCCCTCCTGAGGGGCATCGGGGCTATGGTGCCCAGGGAGTGGTCAGCTCTGCAGGGGTGAGGGGGGCAGCCCTGGCTTAGCAGCACCCTGCAGGCCTGGCTTGGGGGCCCTCCGCATTACAGATAGCTGCATGACAGCCCAGGTTTGTCCTTGTGGCTCAGACAGGCTGTGACCAGCAGGCTGAGGACCAGCCACCTGTCAGACATGCAGCTCTGGCCTCAGGGTCATGAGCTGTGAGGGTGGTAGTGGCTCTGCCTGGGGACACCTTCTGCAGCACCAGCACAGGCCTCACTCCCCAGCCACCAGTAGGTCTGCAGAGCAAGCTGGTGTCGCGGTTGCGTCCTCTTCAAGTCGTGGGTAGCTAATAGGACAAGGGTTTCGGTAAACAAAGTGGACCCCTGAACCTTCCCCTTGTGACCCTTTGCCTAGAAGTTTCAGTGTGTGTACCCTCTGAGGTGGCAGGTGCCACACGCCCTTGAAGGACAGGCAGGCACTGGTCTGGATGTTGACTATCTTGAGATACCTTCTCCTAACCACAAGGCCATCTGAGATGCCAGGCTGACACAGGCCATGCAGGAGCCTGGCAACACAGTGCCCTGCACTGTGGGCCTGTCCTCTGCTGGCTCCTCATCCTTTTAGTATGGGACAGACGGTCCCACTGACAACCCCGAGCCCTTCCTCATCCTCTGTCTGCACAGCTCAGGGACCAGGAGTCTGGAGGACGTGTGCCTGCAGGTGACCGACCTGCTGCCAGGCCTCAGGAAGCTCCGGAACCTGCTCCCCGAGCATGGCTGCCTGCTGCTGTCCCCGGGGAACTTCTGGCAGAATGACCGAGAGCGCTTCCATGCTGACCGTGACATCATCGGGACCATCCATCAGCACGAGCCCAAGACACTACAGACTTCCGCCACACTCAAGGGTAGGCCCTGCATTGGCTGGGTGCTCTGCAGCCCGCATCTCCTGGCCCCTGTCCTTGGGGGAGGGAGTCCTGGTGGTCCTGCCATGCTTCGATCCCACCGCCAGTGCCCGCTGTGCCTGCAGACTTGCTGTTCGGTGTTCCTGGGAAGTACAGTGGGGTGAGCCTTTACAAGAAGAGGAGGATGGTGTCGTACACAATCACCCTGGTCTTCCAGCACTACCACGCCAAGTAAGGGGGTGGGCCTAGGTTCCTGGCCAGTCTGTGGGTGACAGGAGCCTGAGTGGTCCCTATGCTGGTTGGGTGCCTGGTGGCTATCAGGCCTCCTGCAGAAATGCTCCCCTGGAGGCGCGGCCTGCCACATGGTAGTGAGGAGCATCTGACAGCTGGCCCAGAGCACAGACGGAGAAAGGTGTCCTGACATCTCCCCTGCTCTCGAGTGCGGTGCATGCGGCCCCTGGTGGTGCCTCCGAACCCATCCTGAGATAGCCAGGCCGCTGCACACTCTGGGCAGAGGCAGCCAAGACGCCCAGGCCTAGTGGCCAAGCAGAGCAGCAGCTAGGGAAGGAGCAAACCATGCAGCACTTTGGTGCTCCAGAGGCCATCTAGAAGCCTGGCTGCCTCAGAGAGGCCCCATGACATGGGTGGGGTGCAAGAGGCCTGATGGACCCTCCAGGGAGTTCCCTTGTCCCCAGATTCCTAGGCAGCCTACGTGCCCGCCTCATGCTCCTGTACCCCAGCCCCAACTGCAGCCTCCGGGCGGAAAGCCTGGTGCACGTGCACTTCAAGGAGGAGATTGGCATCGCCGAGCTCATCCCCCTGGTCACCACCTACATCATCCTCTTCGCCTACATCTACTTCTCCACACGTAGGTCTGCCAGTGGGCACTTCCTCACCTCCCTACCACTGGAGGCGACTGTTGGCAGAGGTTACCCCAGGGCCAGGGCTTCCTCCCCACCCTGACAGCGTCCTGGGGACCTGGGTGTCTGGGAGAGCCTTCCGGGCTCAGGGTCCCAGAGACCACACTTTCCTTGATTCACCAGGGTGCTGCCCTGATGCACCCCCTCTCTGCCTCCAGGCAAGATCGACATGGTCAAGTCCAAGTGGGGGCTGGCGCTGGCTGCCGTGGTCACTGTGCTCAGCTCGCTGCTCATGTCTGTGGGGCTCTGCACACTTTTCGGCCTGACACCCACACTTAATGGCGGGTAGGTCCCTGCTGGTCTGGGCCCTCCTGGACCCTGTCTTGACTGTGCCATTTCTCCCTCACAAGCACCTGGCCTGTGTGGGTTCTGTCTGGGTGTATATGTGTGCACACGTCGGTACTGTGGACTGTGTTCATGTCGTGTGCAGACAGAATGCCTGTGTTGGTGTCATGGGTGTGTGTGCATCTGTGTTCTCACTAGGGGACTCGGCACGCACACATAATGCACCTTAATCCTTCTCCCATCCCGGTCGCCTCCTGCCTCCTGTGTCCTGGGTGCCATGGCCGCATGCACACTGCTGCCTCCCAGCTCACATTGCAGAGGGGCAGGAGGGGTGGTTCCTTCCTTCCCCTTGGAGAGAGCTGTCCCCAGTCAGTGCGCAGGCCATGGTCACCTCCCTGCTGGGTGGCTAGCTTCAGTCAGGTCCCACCTGCCCCCCTGGGGTCTGCTCTCCCCAACCTTGGTGTGTCAGAGGAGAGCAGCTAGCCTCCTATGGTTTAGAGGACCTATGGTTTAGGTCCCAGGTCACACAGCGGACACAAAGGTGACCGCGGCTCCGGCTGCTTCCTTGGGGACACCTGCTTCTCCCAGTGCCCCACCTCAGAGCCCTTGCTCCCTCAGTGCCTTCCTTAGTGTCTGTCACCAGTCATGTGAGGCCAGGGGGCCACAAGCTGGTACAGTGTACTTTAGGAGCAATTGCTCAGCCAGGCACAGTGATGCTCACCTGCAGTCACAGCTACTCAGGAGGCTGAGGCAGGAAGATCAGCAGTCTGGCCTCGGTAACATAGTGAGTTCCTTTGTCAGAACGCTGGACAAATAGCAACGGTGTAGCTCAGCGGACAAGCACTGCCCTGCTGCATGCGGAGCCCCGGGTTTGCTCCCCATCCCAGTCCTGGTCCCTAAGGCAGCAGTTGCTTGGCAGAGCCCTGGGCCTTCAGGCTGGCTCCCCCCTTCACACAGCTGCCCATGCACCCAGAGTCACTGGTGTGTGGGGCTGGGTGGTCGTTGTTCTATCCCCAGCAGAGGCTGGTGTGTGAGGGCAGGAGAGTGGACCGCTGCCCCTGCCTAGGTGCAAGTCCTGGAGCCCACCCGCAAGCCACCGGCGAGCTGGTGGGAGGCAAGGTTGCTGTCCTGTGCTCAAAGGCCCCTGCGCACCCTTGCTGATTCCTTCGTCCACAGTGAGATCTTCCCGTACCTGGTGGTGGTGATCGGCTTTGAGAACGTGCTGGTGCTCACCAAGTCGGTGGTGTCGACCCCGGTAGACCTGGAGGTGAAGCTACGGATTGCCCAAGGTAACTTGGGGTGTGTTCCTCTGGTCCGCATGGCCCCCAGGAGCTGTGGGCGCCCTGCTGAGCTCTGGTGGCGCACATCAGGGGTTTGCATTTGGGGTGCCTGCTGTCTCCACCACAGCTCACAGCGGGAGCTGGACACTGGGGTTCTGGGGTGAGTGAGAGGCTAGGGCCCTGCCAGTGAAGCATGGCTGGGGCTGTCCACTCACTGTCACTGTGTCCTGTGGTGACCTCGCCCTAAATGGTATTGGGCCCCGAAGCCACAAGGCAGAGGTCCCAGGCTGCCTGGCCCTCAAAGCCAGATGCCACAGTGAGGGCCAGGGCCCCAGCTGGCTAGGGCGGAGGCCAGGCGTGGGGAGCCCAGCTGCGGTTGCCCCTGCAGGCCTGAGCGGTGAGAGCTGGTCCATCATGAAGAACATGGCCACTGAGCTGGGCATCATCCTTATCGGCTACTTCACCTTGGTGCCTGCCATCCAGGTGAGGCCAATGGTGCTGCTGCTGCTGCTGCTGCTGCTTGGGGGCTGGGGAGAGGGCTACCCTTCAGGGATGTGTCCTGTGGTCTGTGCTTGGTCAGGCGGGATGTACAGTGCTGGGTTGGGCACTCAGGCCAGGACTTGCGGAGCAGAGGTGCCCCGCTTCAGCGTCCACACGGAATCAGGTCTTTTGTCTTCTCTTTTCCTCGGTCCCGGGTAGGCCCGGCCCGGGTTCTGGCCAGGTCGGTGGCACCTGGGCAGGGCCAGGGCCAGGGCCACCTGGGAACCGGCTGGATGGCTTGGAGTTGGGGCCTCCTGGGTTGGCTCACGGCTCCTTGGAGCGGGGTGCCCACCCAGGGTGGTGAGAGGGAGCCTGTGCTGCCCCCTGGTGGTGACAGCGCTCCCCGGCAGCGGCCCTTGATCTGGACCTGTGCTGTCACCTGCCTTGGGCCGAGTGGTCAGGGCACTGGGCCTGTGCTCTGTTCCAGGAGTTCTGTCTCTTCGCGGTTGTGGGCCTGGTGTCTGACTTCTTCCTCCAGATGCTGTTCTTCACCACAGTCCTGTCCATCGACATCCGCCGCATGGAGGTAGAGTGGCTGGGCCTGGCCTTCCTGGGTGGCGGGCAGCATGGGAGTGTGGGCCACTGGCAGGGTCTACAGACTCAGGCCTGTCCCCTGCTCCCGACAGCTGGCGGACCTGAACAAGCGGCTGCCCGCAGAGGCCTGCCTGCCCCCGGCCAAGCCCGTGGGGCGGCCAGCCCGCTATGAGAGGCAGCTGGCCGCGCGGCCATCCACACCTCACACCATCACACTGCAGCCGTCCTCCTTCCGCAACCTACGGCTGCCCAAGCGGCTGCGTGTCGTCTACTTCCTGGCCCGCACCCGCCTGGCGCAGCGCCTCATCATGGTACCTGCCGTCCTGCGCTCGCACTCGTGCGACCGTGGCCTGGCCGGCAATGCCTTCCCTGCCGGGAGCCTGGGGGTCCTGGGGCGAGGAGTCCATCTGGGGGCGTCAGGGCAGGGGAGTCCCCCAGAGGGACCCAGGACAGGCATCTGGGTCAGAGACCAGGTGGCCGCCACGCTGGCTCCTGGGCGCCAGAAGCACGGGAGAAAGCTGGGGCCTGTGGGGGTCTCTGGCTGCAGCTTTGCGGGGCGTGCAGGCGGCGAGGGCCGTGGGCAGCCTCCTCCCTGGCTGACCGGCGCCTGTACCCTGCAGGCCGGCACCGTGGTCTGGATCGGCATCCTGGTATACACAGACCCCGCCGGGCTGCGCACCTACCTGGCTGCCCAGGTAACAGAGCAGAGCCCGCTGGGCGAGGGGTCCCTGGCCTCCATGCCTGTGCCTAGTGGCGTGCTGCCCGCCAGCCGCGTGGACCCCGCCTTCGCCATCTTTCCACCTGACGCCCCGAGGCTCCCCGAGAACCAGACGCTGCCCGGGGAGCAGCCCGAGCAGGCCGGCCCAGCCGAAAGCGCCCAGGACGGCCCGGTGCCAGAGGTGACCTGGGGGCCCGAGGACGAGGAGCGCTGGCGGGAGCTGTCCTTCCGCCACTGGCCCACGCTCTTCAGTTACTACAACATCACGCTGGCCAAGCGGTGAGGATGGGCGGCCGGCGGGGGTGGGGCAGGGCTGAGCAGGCGGGCGGGGTGGGGGTCCTTGCCCAAGCCGAGCCCAGCCGATGCCCGCAGGTACATCAGCCTGCTGCCCGTCATCCCCGTGACGCTGCGCCTCAACCCGCGGGAGGCGCTGGAGGGACGGCACCCCCAAGACGGCCACAGCGCCTGGGCCTCCCGTGGCCCCGCACCGCCCGGGGTCTGGGAGGCAGCGGGGCCCGCGGGGCTGGGCTCCGCGCAGGCGCCCCGGGACGTCACGCTGTACAAGTGAGCGGGGAGTGGGGGGCGCGGGGGGGCGGGGCTGGGCTGGGGGCGCGGTCCTCGCTGCTCACCGCCGCACTCCCGGCCGCAGGGTGGCGCTGCTCGGGCTGGCAGCCGGCGTTGCGCTCGTGCTGCTGTTGCTCTGCCTCTACCGCGTGCTGTGTCCGCGCGACTACGGGCAGCCCGGGGGTGGTGGGCGGCGGCGGCGCGGGGAGCTGCCGTGTGACGACTATGGGTACGCGCCGCCCGAGACAGAGATCGTGCCATTGGTGCTGCGCGGCCACCTCATGGTAAGCGGGCAGCGGGCAGGGGGCAGGAGGAGAAACGGGGAGGTGGGGGAGACAGGGGGCTTGAGCCCACACCGCACCCGCCTCCCGCAGGACATCGAGTGCCTGGCCAGCGACGGCATGCTGCTCGTGAGCAGCTGCCTGGCGGGCCACGTGCGCGTGTGGGACGCGCAGACGGGGGACTGCCTCACGCGCATCCCACGGCCAGGGTAGGTGTCCCCGCCACGCCAGGCCTCCCTGCCACGCCAGGCCTGGCCCGGCCTGCCCTGGCCCTGCCCTGCCCTGGCCCTGCCCTGGCCCTGCCCTCCCCTGCCGTCTCTTCTCACCTCGCCTTCCTCCCCGCTCCCAGGCAGCGCAGGGACAGCGGAAGCCCTGAGGCTAGGGAACACTGGGCGCGGCTGCCTGAGGATGGCCCGAAGGCAGGTGCCCAGGAACCAAGAGACAGCCCCCCACGCCGCCGCCGGCCCCGGGGCCCCCCGCCCACGCTTTTTGGGGACCAGCCCGACCTCAGCTGCCTCATCGACACCGACTTTGCCGGGGCGCAGTCCAAGCCCTCGCAGCCGGAGCCCCGACATCGGGCTGGTTGCGGCCGAGTGTGCGACACCCCAGGCTACGACTTCAACCGTCTGGTGCAGCGCGCCTGCCGCAGCGAGGGCCCTGCCCGTCACCCCCCCTCGCCCACGCCCCCCTCTGAGGACCCCACGCAGGACAAGGACGGCCCCCCACCTGCCTGGACGCCAAGCGCTGAGGGCTCCATTTGGAGCCTGGAGCTGCAGGGTGGTCTCTTCGTGGTGGGGCGGAGCAGCGGCCGGCTGGAGGTGCGGCCCCACCCATCCCCACCGCCTGTCCCCTGGGTTGGCCCCCTGCTCACAGCTCTGTGCTCTTTGCAGGTGTGGGACGCCATTGAGGGTGAGCTGCGCTGTAGCAGCGAGGTGTCGTCCTCGGGCATCACAGCCCTGGTCTTCCTGGATGCTAGGTGAGCTGGTGCCACTGCCCTGCCTCACCCTCCTGAGCCCTGGGTGCACGGTGGTGGCGGTCCAGCGGTCCCCAGCTCCAGCATCTCCACGGGGCACCTGCAGCTTCCTGTGCAAATCTTCCCCTGGGTTCTGGGCTCTCCCACTGCTGCCTCCCTTGACTGAGTGTCCACGCTGTCTGTACCCGCATTCTAGTCCAGCCTCTGAGTCTGGCAGCCATCCTGAGTCGCAAAACCATGTGGCTGGCTGTCAGCATCACTGGTCACTGCCAGGCTACCAGAGCTAGAACTGGAAGGAGCCTTTGCTGGGGGACAAGGACTGTCCCTATAAACACTACCCATTAATGGCCCCTTTGGCATTGCTGGTATCTGCCTTGCCTCCATCTGGTGCTGGTAGAACGGCCACTCACTGCCCAGGAGCCTTAGTGCAGCCATCTGCTCCAACCAGCGAGGTGCCCAGGGATGGTGGCCCGTCTTCTGCACTGTGGCTCCCGCAAGGCTTGGATTTTTGAGGGCACAATGGTCTTTTGGGCCATGGATGGTGGCCTGTAGTAGGAACTTTTGGGCACCAGGGACACCCTTTCTTCTTTATGGGAGAGGGAAGCTGGGTGGGTTGCTGCTCCACACAGGGCAGCCTCCCGCACAGCCCTGGGCCCTGCGTGTCTTCCTCAGGGGTAGCCCTGCTTAGATGAGACTGTGTGGGGAAACCTGCTGCTCAGTTGCTTCTTGTGCTTTAATGGACACATGCTGGTAGCCAGCCCTCAAGGTGGGCTCAGTTACCTCCACTGGACATCTGACCCTGGCATGGCAGGGTTGGCAGAGTTGACAGGTGCAGCCGGTGTCCTCTGCTTCCTTGCCTTAGCCAGACTCCTCCTGAGCTGGCCTGAGCTTCTCAGTTGTCCCCACCACCTACTGAAGGGAGCCACCTGCATCTCTGTTGCAGGGTGGTGGCCGCTAGGCTCAATGGTTCCCTGGATTTCTTCTCCCTGGAGACACATGCGGTCCTCAGCCCGCTGCAGTTCCGAGGTGAGAGGTGTGGGTAGGGACAGGGGCACTGCTCGCCCAGTAACGTTCACAGGCTGCCTCATGTGGCTTGTTGTCCCAGGAACCTCGGGGCGGGGCAGCTCTCTGTCTGCTCTGCAGAGTGGCAGTGACGTGGTGGCCTGCCGCCTGACCCACACGGTGCCCTGCGCACACCAGAAACCCATCACAGCACTGCGAGCCGCTGCTGGGCGCCTGGTGACCGGGAGCCAGGACCACACCCTGAGGGTGAGTGGGCCTAGCCGGCAGAGGGGTGCTGCGCCTGGGGCCATCTGTGCCTCAGAAAGCCTAGAGCATCCACCCCACCGCAGGTGTTCCGTCTGGAGGACTCGTGCTGCCTCTTCACCCTACAGGGCCACTCAGGGGCCATCACGAGTGTCTATGTTGACCAGGTGAGGAGTGGGGTGGGGCACAGGCTGAGCCCTCACTCGTCTGGTTCCTTGGCTGGCCCAAGGGCCTTCGAGGAAGGTGGCCCAGCCTCCCCAACCTCTTCCCCCAGACCATGGTCTTGGCCAGTGGGGGACAGGACGGGGCCATCTGCCTGTGGGACATGCTAACGGGCAGCCGGGTCAGCCACATGTTTGCGCACCGTGGGGATGTGACATCCCTCACCTGCACCGCCTCCTGCATCATCAGCAGCGGCCTAGATGACCTCATCAGCATCTGGGACCGTAGCACGGGCATCAAACTCTACTCCATTCAGCAGGTGGGCAGGCGGGCAGGAGGGCGCAGGCACAGCCGGCTACGTCGAGACCCCTGACCAGAGCACCCCTCCTTCTCTTCTAGGACCTGGGCTGCGGTGCAAGCCTGGGTGTCATCTCTGATAACCTGCTGGTGACTGGTGGCCAGGGCTGCGTCTCCTTTTGGGACCTGAACTATGGGGACCTGCTGCAGACTGTGTACCTGGGGAAGAACAGTGAGGCCCAACCGGCCCGCCAGATCCTGGTGTTGGACAATGCTGCCATCGTGTGCAACTTCGGCAGCGAGCTCAGCCTGGTCTATGTGCCCTCTGTGCTGGAGAAGCTGGACTGAGGGCGAGTGGGGCCGGCACTGGACCTGGCTGGCTGAACAGGAGCATCCCTGCTCCTGGACTGTGGCATTAAACTTTTTAAAAAACAACGCCTGTGCGCTGGAACTACGTCTGTCACTCCCTGCCCAAGACAGAGTGGGAGGCCCTGGGTGAACTGTGCTCCTGGCTGAGGAAGCGGCAGGGGCAGACACTGGCCACAGAAAGGTCTGTTTATTTCATAGCAAAGAGCTGAGAAACACCAGGTCCGATGCAGGGCAGGGCCGGGCCGGTGGGGCTGAGGCGGTGCACAGAGGCACTCAGGTCTTATTGAGGGTCCAGAGCGGATCCAGGAGGCTGAGGGGGTCGTCAGGGGCTCGGGCCGCGCGCAGGCCCTGCCCATTGTGTGCCTGCAGGAAGCTCTGCTTGCTCATACGCTGCTTCCCGCGCAGGGAGCTGTCCAGGGAGAAGGCCTCAGGGGTCAGAGAGGCCAGCAGCTCCAGGGAGGATGATGGGGGCCCCACGTTGGGGGCTTCAGGCATCAGAGGTGGCTGCTCCTCGGGCTGGGGGGCAGCAGGCAGGGGTGAGGAGAGGGGCGGGGGGGAGGCTGGGGCAGGTGCAGGCTCAGAGAGGCTCACGGGTGCCAGGCCCGGCGTCTCCGTGGGGCCTGACTGCATGGCGGCTGGGGAGTCCATGCCCGCGGTGGGCCGGATGCTGAGCTTGGCAATGGTGGCCTGGATGGAGCTGATGGGTACGTCCCCGCCGAGGACCAGGTCCTGGGAATCCTGAGGCGGCGGCTGGCTCTGGAGAGACCGCAGAGTTGAGGCCGGCAGGTGGGAGGCTGTGGCCCACCAGCCCCAGGAAGCCCGCTCACCTTGGGGCCAGTGCTGACATTGGCACCAGCCAGGGCCTTGCAGGGTGGGGGCACGCCATGGCGCTGCAGGACCTGTTCCACGTGCCGCACCACCGCCTCATGGCAGAACCTGAGGTGCAGCTACAGAGGTGAGGGCCGGGTCAGCAGGGCAGGGGTGCGGGGCCGGGCCCAGCCATCCCTACCCACTGCCACCCGCTGCCTCACTTTCTCCTGTAGCATGTGCTTCCTCTGCTGCCGCATGCGGCGCACCAGCTGTGGCAGCGCAGGGATGCCGCTGCCTGCCTCCACCTCCTGCACAGCTGCGTAGAGCAGCGCAAAGGCACCTGTGCGACCCACGCCGGAGCTGCGGGAAAGGGGGGTGAGGCTGGGCCAAAAAGCCCCCAGGAGCCCCGGGCTGCTGGCCCTACCTGCAGTGCACAACGACGGGCGTGTGCAGGGGCCGCTGGTGCAGGTAATGTGCGTGCACCTCCTGGATGAAGTGCAGCAGGTTGCTGGGACTGTCCGGCAGGCCTCTGGGGGCAGGGCGGGACAGGGCAGGGCGGTGAGAACAGGGCCTGGCCCTGGGCAGTGCACCCCCACCCCCGCCCGCCCGTGTCCAGGACACACAGCTCCGGCCAGGTGGGGAAGTGGAGGTGCACAAGGGAGCGCTTGAGGCTCTGGTCGCGGAACTGTAGGCTCAGCACCCGCTCCACGTGGGTTTCGGTGTTACGCACGCTGCTCAGCGCTACGCTCAGGGCTCCATGCACCATGGGCTGGCCACGCTCCGTGGGGAAGTAGCGGGCGACCTTTTGCTAAGGGACAGAAGAGCACGATGAGGCCAATCCTGCCTAACCCCCACTTGGGGGAACCCAGCTCACCACACTCACCTTCTCTATCTCAGCCTCTGACACCAGCATGACGATGACCGACACTTTCTGCTCGTGGACCATGAGCCAGAAGTCGGCAGCTGTACCGGGCAGCGGGGCCTGGGTGGCCACCAGGGGCGGGCAGTACGGGGACAGCCCCTCCACACAGCTGGCATTGATGTAGTCATCTTTGCCCGAGCGAAGAACCACGCGGTTGCTGTCATATGGCATCACGTCCTGGTGCCGGTTCTTCAGGGAGTAGCAGCGGGCGATGGCAATGGAGCGGCCTCGAGCGTCCTGCTCCTGTGCCTCCTGTAGCTCCCGCCAGACCACATCCAGCGCCCCTGAGTCCCCCAGCTGGCCCCTGAAGGCCTCCAGCTCCTGCCGCAGCCGCTCTAACCTCTCAGGATGCTCGTAGGGATCCCGTTCTATGAGCCGCAGGGCCTGTGGGCGTCGGCCATCAGCTGCGTCCACCTTGGTCGGCTGCAGCAGGGGCTGCCCACCCCCAGGAGGCTGTGCACCACCGTGCTGGCTCTCTGGGCTGGAGGACAGCAAGTCTGCAGCCGCTGTGCCCCGGCGTGGGCACACAGGTGGATCTGTTGCAGGGGGCCGAGTGGGCACTGGGCCAGGTCCCGGGGAAGGGGCGGGTGAAGGCACCAGATGGGCACTGGGGCTGGGCTGGCCGGTGGGCGGAGGGCCACGCATAGGGAGCGGGGCTGCCTGGGTGCCCATGGGCCTGGGAGACGGAGCGGGACCATAGGCCAGAGGTGGGTGAGGTGGCTGGGGAGTCCCTGGGTTAGGGAAGGGCAGAGCCCCTGCCGGGGTTGGCAGGCCTTCCTGGGAGGGGCCAGGGTAGAGCTGGGTATGCAGGGCAGCTGGTGGCTGTGCAAGGACACCGGATGGTGGTGCTGGGAAGGGGTAAGGAGACTGGGAGGGAATGACTCCCGGAGCCTGGGGTGGAAAGAGGTGTGGATGCTGGAATGGAAGAGGCTGCGGAGGGGGCAGAGGTCCAAATGCTGCCCTGGAAGGATGTGGCTGGGGGGTGATCCTGGGGCCCTGTGGTGGGGGAAACCCCGTAGGGACCCCAGAGGAGAAGAGCTGAGCTGGGGGTGCTGCAAGAGGCTGCTTGGTCCCAACCGGGTATGTGTAGGGCACAGGCAGCTGCTGCGGCGGGGGCATGGGCTGTGATGGGAAGCAGGGCTGGGGAGCAGGGCTGGGGTTGGGCTGCAGTGCCAGGTGGCTGGAGATGGGGGCCTGGACACTGTCCACTGTGGTGGTGGCTGGCCGAACTGCCATGGCCAACTCGGGGCCTGCAAACTGGGAAGGAGGAGCGGAGGGCAGCCCTGCACCCGCCAGGGGTGCCCCTACTGCCCCATAGGGAGTGCTCACTGCACCATGCTGTGGGGAGGAGCGGGGCACAAGCCCCAGCTCAGGGGAGTAGGCAGGGGCTGGGTAGAGGACAGGGGACGGTGCCACGGGCATGGCCAGCGGCCCTGAAACCCTAGCCTGCAGCAACTTGGGGGGGCCAGAGTAGGGAGCCGGGGGGAGCACACCTGGGGCATAGTGGGAGCCCGGGATGGTGGAGCTGGGGAAGGGGCCAGGCGTGAAGTGGAGTGGGGTGGGGGCACCCAAGAAGGTGTCAGGCAGCCGTGGGCCGGCCGCTATGTCAGGGGGCAAGCTGCGCAGTTCCTCCGGCAGGTCCCCCGCCTCTGTGGCCTCGCTCTCCTCCCTGCGGGGCAGCAGTGGCTTTGGGGCTGTGGGCCGTGGGGGTGGCTTCTTCTTCAGCTCTCTGGGGACAGGCAGGGAGGGCGACCATTACCGTGAACAGCCCGCCTGGCAGGAGCAGAGCTACGAGGCAGTGGGGCCTCACTCACCGGTCCAGGAGCTGCTGGCGGGCAGCCTCTCGTGCCTGGTAGGCAGACTGAGCCCGGTCCAGCAGGGTGGCCACCTTGCTCTCCAAGTCCGCATAGAAGTCCTTGCCCTCCTGGGACTTCTTCATCAGGTCCTCGTAGGCTTCGTAAGAGGCCACCAGGGTCTGCAGTGTGGAGTTCCACCTGGCAGGCAGGCAGAAGGCTGGTGAGCCAGCGGCCTGCAGGCAAGGGCAGGGCGGGCAGGGCAGGCAGGGCAGGCAGGGCAGGCAGGGCAGGCTCAGGCACTGACTTCTGGTCCAGCTCACTGAGCACCCGCCGCACAGCTGCGTACTGCACATTGGCCTCGGTGAGCGCGCGAAGCACGTTGTCCTGGGCAGCCAGGTTCTGCTCCAGGTACACCCGCAGCTGGTCATATTTCTTCAGCTGCTCCTCAAACAGCTTCTAAGGGGGTAGTGGGGAGGGCACTCAGGGCCTCAGGGCCTCAGGGCCTCAGGGCCAGGCAAGCCGCCATCCCACCCACCTTCATCTCCGAGTGGTCAGTGGTCACTAGGGAGGCTGTGATGTCATCCTTCTGGATCAGTTCGCGCAGTTGCTGCTCCAGGGACACACGCTGGTCCCGCATCTCCTGCACCTTGGCCAAGATGCGCTTCAGGTTCTGCAGCACGGCCTTGTCCTCTGAGGATGGGCACCAGTAAGGCCACAGAGAGTGCCAGCTCCCCCTACACGCGCAGGCATGGCAGCTCACCTGGGGTGAGGTCCGGCGTGGGCAAGGCAGCCCGGACCTGGTCCAGGGGCCCGCTGAGCAGGCGCAGGTTGGCCACATGCAGGTTCATGGCACGGTGCAGCTCACTATTGGTGAAGGAGGCCTTCTCGTGCACCTCCATGTACTTGGTCCACTCCTTTCTCACCTCTGCCAGCTCCCCCTTGGCGGTGGCTGGGCCAGTCCCAGCCTGACCCAGGGCCTCCTGCAGCTTCTGCTCTTGAAGCTCATCCTCCTCCAGCAGGGTCCCAATATCTTTCAGAGAGGCTTCCACATCCGTGAACACGCCTGACAGCACTGAGGTGGATGGAGTGGCCCCTGAGCAGGTGTGCCAGGCACCTCTCGGGGATAGGCTAGACAGGAGGCCGCAACAAGGGACTCATGCCATCCTCTGTACCCGTCCTGCCCCTACGCACCCTGCATGGACTGGACGAGGTTCCTGACCGTGTCAGGCCGCACACTGAGCGCAGCACACTTCTCCATGAGCTGCGGTGGAATGTGGCTGTATGCGTCCAGGTTGTCCACTGTTTCAGGGTCCAACTGCATGGAATCCATGAACTGGCTGTGGAGGAGTCAACCAGGTGAGCTGGGTATCAACCCAGCTCCTGCTGGAGTGCATCTCTTGCTGAAGCTGGGCCTAAGACTTAGCAAATCTCCTCTACCAACCTTCACCACAGCCACACAGATCACACCCAGGGACAGCTGGGAACTGGCCCAGAAAGGACAGCAAGCTTCTGGGCAGAGAGGCAGGCTAGCAAGCCGCTGTGAGCACAAAGGCAGCACTGTGCACCCCCTCCCTGATTGGTGCTCACCCCACACTTACTCCAGGACCTCGTTCTTGTCCTCTATCTTGGCCATCACCTCCCGGAGCAGCTTGGCCTTCTCCTCACTGTGGAAGCCACACAGCAGCTGCTGGGAGGCCCATTTCCTGGGATGCCCAATTCCTCCCTTGGTAGAGGCAGGCCAGCCCACCCCACCTGTACAGTGATGAGGCCTCGTGGGCAGCCATGGGTACCAGTTTGGCAAAGATGTCAGGGCCTGTGACAGCCGGATCCGTGGGGTTTACAGGCAAGGGCTTCACCAAGGGAGCACCTGAGGCAGAAAAGAAGTGTCAGGCCTTTGGAGACAAGACCTCGCCCACCATCCCCTCACACTCAGCCTCTCTCAGCCACAGACCTTTCACAGGCTGCAGGGTGTCAAGGGCTGGCATCGCCTCATGGTAGATGAAGTCATTGTCCTTCTTGGCAGAATTGTACCTGGGGTTTGGGAGCAGGGAGAGTGAGGAATCCGGGGCCACTCCCATGGGTGCCACTGCTCTGTGCTGGTGCCACCTCCTCAGGGGGCAGGCAGACAAGTGGTGCCCCCCCGTAAGACAGCACCCCACTCACTTTCCCCCGATGACATCCATTGTGAAGCGAAGGGCATCTTGCACAGTGTCAGGCTGGCCCTGGAGGTAGCATGAGAATGGGACCTCAGTAGCCACTAGACCAGGCCAGGCCTGGCAGTCCTGTGCAGTTTACTTCCCTTGCCCCAGCTTCTGGGGGCAGCCAGGCCTCCTCAGCCTTACCTTGGCCAACTTGATGGCTTCATTAAGCTTGTCCAGAGCACTCTGGAAGTAGGCCACCTGCAGAGAACAGTCTGCTCTGCTGTCCCTGTGTGGACCCTGTTCCTCCTACCTGGTCATCAGTGACCATTGGAGGACCAGAAGCCCAGGTGGCAGGGGTCCCGCCACGCCTCTGCAGCCCGGGGTAAAGGCTTCTTGGGGATCCATGTGGAAAACCCTGTAGGCGGGGCCTGCAGAGTGGCCCGGTCCCAACTTGCCACCCTGTACAGGACAGAACCAGGGCCCAGGTGCCCCCACCACAGCCTGCTCACCCGCTCCCCGAACTTCTGCTGCTCCTCGGCCTGCTTCCCCATGTGCAGCTAGGGAGGAAAAGGAGGCATCAGACTCAGTCATGACCGGGCCACCCTGCCCACCAGCCTAGGCCCAGAGCTCACGTGAGCCACAGCCGCAAAGTAATAGATCTTCATCTGCACCAGCTTCCTCCAGTCCTTCTGCACTCGGCCCAGCAGTGAGGCGGTGTCAGGACTCTCCAGGGCCCGGCAGGCTTCCTTGTAGTAGTCCACCACCTGCGGGGGAGGCGAGCACTCAGCAGGGCCAGCCGGCTGGGCCAGGGCACAGCCCACCCTCAGCCCACCCCTACCTGTGCACTGATGCGGGCCACCAGGAAGCTCTTCCGATTGTCCAGCATGGACTTCTCCAGCAGGCACTCCTGAGCCTGGCCCTGAGGACACACATGAGTCACCTCCTCCTCCACGGCAAGTCTTTTTCATGGAGGATAGGGGGAAAGTGCAGATGACTGCCACAGGCACCTCACACAGCCCTTCCCTCCAAGTCTGCCCACTCTGCCACCCAGAGCGCCACTCTTGGCCAGTCCATGCCAGCGCTAACCCAGATGTGGCTCACTCTGCGCAAGGCCCCTCTCACCAGCATGAGATTGACATTGAGCGTGAGGATCTGGCGGCTCATGTCCACACTATAGGCCTGTGGGAAATGCTCCCGCAAGTAGGCAAAGGCGCCTGCTGCACACTGGAAGTGGGTGCAGGAGACCTTCATGCCCTGTGAGGGAGGAAACAAGCTGGCCAAGTCCATTCCCGTGGGACAGCGCTCACCTGTCCGTCCCGTTGCCAACACCTCCATCTCTGCTTCCACCTCCCCTCCTCCAACACCCCTGCCTCACCTCCTCTGACACCCGCTTGTCCATGGCCCCCAGCATGGAGTGCAGCGCGCCTGAGGAGGCAGAGGACATGGCGTAAGGAAGGCAGAGCACTGTCCAGCCCACCCTGGAGGGAAGCTGCCCTCCAGGGCCACAGGAAGCCCAGCAGCCCAGCCAGTGCCCAAACTCCACTCTGCATACTGCAGGGCTGGGTCACAGCAAGGAGAGCTGCTTGCCAGCACCCAGGGGTCCCCCCAGCAGCGCCCAGAATGGCTAGAGTCCTCTGCAGCTCCTCCCACTTCTTCCTGCGCCCAGGTGGTCCTGAGCCACAGAAGGAAGTGCCCCTGCCTCTCCCTCCGTGGGCCCCACAAACAGCAGAGGTTGCAGGGCTGGGAGGCTTCAGGGAAGGCCAGGTGGCTCACCGAGGTTGTAAAGGATGCAGGCTTGCTCGTATTTGATGTCTTCATGGGCCACAGACTTGCCTGAGAAGATCTCAGTCCTGCAGATGTGACAGCACCTGGTCACTTGCAGGCAGGGTTGGCCAGGGCCAAGAATAGTACCACCACAACGTGTGTCGGTGGGGATGCGGGGTGCTCCATGGCCACTCCTTCCCCAGAGGTCAGAGGGAAGAGGAATGTTGCTGTCATGCAGGCTCTTGGGTCCCTGGCCCCACACCCCAGCCTTACTGTAGCTCTCACCAGGTGACAGGGACTGCAGCCTCCTGCCCTGAGCCCATGGGGACGCGGCTCTGCAGGTAGTGCAGCTGGCCAAGGTACTTCCGGAGGACACTGCAGCCCTCAAAGTCCCGGGGGACACGGATGGCATTCTGGAGGCAGGAAGGGAGAAACAGGGAGCTCATCCCCAGCTGCCAGGAAACTCACACCAGATCAGAGCTGGCAGAGCCCCACGCCTGGGAGCCACCCGGGAGCCTACCCCAGCTGCCAGTGCTGGCTACCACTATGGCATTCCTAGACAGTAGCTTGCAGTGTCCACTTGGGTGTTTTGGAAGCAGGACAGACAACTGCAAGACTGAACCCAGCCAGCACTGAGCTACAGCCCCGCTGCTTTTTAAACTTTGAGATATGACCACATTAAGGTGCCCAGGTTGGCTTCGCTTGCAATCCTCCTGCCTCAGCCTCTTGAGAGGCTAGGATTACAGGTGTATATTGGTTCACCTTGTTAAAACTTCTCAAATTTAATTTTCCATCTACAGTTCTGTATCTAAAACTTCCATCATGAGATATTCAGAAAAGCAAATCTTTGTTTATACAAGGATGTTTATTTCCCACATTACTGCTCACAAACTGTATGCCAAGCCAACTTCCACTCTAAAGAACACAGCTGAAATAAACCCAACTGAAGCAGACACAGAAGGGCACGCTTTGAAGCTGTGAAAACTACAGACAGATATGGGGCTCTCCACCTATGCATTAAAATGTCCTTGACATACTATCAGGCAAAAAAGCACATCACGGAAGAATGGTCTGGTCTCAGGTAAAACCACAGAGAGAATTTCTAAACAAATGTGAATACCAAATGGAGAAGGGTTCAGAAAACTACACCAAAATGTTAACAGAGCTTACCTCTGGGAAGTAAGATTAGCTTTCCCTCTTTCTATACTTATCTTGTAAGCAAGTCAACAGATAAGAGTACGTACCTGGCAGAGACATGTATTTAATTCCTTATATTCTTAACATTAAACATTTTTAATTTTTATAATAAACAACAAAAGTAACAACACAGCAAATGAACCATCTGCTTAAACAGCAAAGCAGACATATATCCTCCAAGAAGCAGATACCTAAGCCAGGCATGGTGATGCACACCTGTAATTCTTTTGGAGGCTGAGGCAGGAAGATTACTAGTTTGAACCCAGCCTGAGTAGTTTAGTAGTGAGACCCCGGCATAAAACAAAACACAACAAGGCCCTTGTGCAGATAGGCAGACCTGAGTTCAGCCTCTATTCCCACCTCCCCCCACAAAAAAGAATCACTGATAGGATTTAGACCGTTACACTCTTTTTTTGGGGATTGAACTCACAACTTTGTGCTTGCCAGGCAGGCGCTCAAGCCACTGAGCTAAATCCCTGGCCCTCATTTCACTCATTTTTAAACTCTATTCAAATAAGCTCTTATGTAAATTTCAGTTTATGTGGAAGATTCCAGATGGTGGCAGAGTAAGAAGTGCTAGAAATATCTCCCACCAAAGCAGCAACTGCACTGGCAGATTCTGCCTGAGGAAACTACTCCAGAGTTCGGGTATCTCCTGAACTCGAGGTTTGCTGCTTTCAGGACAGGAACAGCGAATAGGTCAGCTCCAGTCCCAGCACAGGAGCAGCACCCACCACAGGTCAGCACTGGCCAGCGGCCTGCACCTCACAGAGCATCTGTTGGGAGCCAGCAGGGCAGGAAGGCCTTGGACCTCAAAGGACAGGGATCAATGCCTGACCATTGACCAGCTTCGGACCAGAGATGCAGACAGCAGAGCAGTGGCCACTGCCACACCTCCCTCCACTGCTACAAGCTCCTCCACCTCTAGCTGCAGCAGTCCCTGGAATGAAAACGGCCTAACTCCATTTTGCCTTCGCCTTCATATTCCTCTTCCCCCTCTTCTTGGCAGTGTTGGTAATCAAATCCAGGGCTTCATGCACGCCAGGCAACTGCTCTACCACTGTGCTACGCAGTCCTTTTTAGTGTTTCACTTTGCGTCAGAGTCCCAGGCTGGCCTTGAACTTGAGACTCTCCTCCCTCAGCCTTCCAAGTAGCTGGGATTATAGGCCTTCATCACCATGCCAGCCTGCATGGCTCCTGCAGCCTCTTTCAAAGGCTTCCTCCTCCTGGACTGACCTCGGACAGCCCCTCTTTCAGGAAGCTGTGCAGTCTAGTGGCTGGGCCTTACCCCCAGGCCAAGCTCCCAGTGCTGATCTACCCGGCCAGAGATGGGTCCACTTTGCCATGTAGCTTCAGCGCCCCCTTTGCTGTGTCTGTGCCGCCGCCTCCCCCGCCCCAGCTGGCCTCAGTGCTGGGGTGGGCATCTGCAGTGTCTCCCAAAGGCCTGCGTGTTAAGACCACGCCAGGCGGTTCCTGTCATTTGTCTACCCAGCCAGACTGCTCGTCCATAGAAATACTCTCCTACCTGTCTGAGCAACTCCAGCTTCTTCAGCTCCTCGTTGTAGGCTTCTGGGTTCTCACCATAATTCTTCAGCACAAACTGGAGAGAGAGAAGACTGTGAGCGGGCACACACATCCTGCTCTGCTCCGTGGGGGAGTAGCCTGCTTACACTGTGAGGAGGGAGCGAGGCTTGCTTGCTCTTCCCCCTTGGCTCTTTTGCTTCTGCTGTCTTTCATAGCCCTCAGCTGCTGCCCCTGTCACACCACCCTGCCTTGCAGTTAGCTGGTTAAGGACTGAAATCTCCACAAATAAACCATGAACTAAATAAACCGTTCCTTCCTTAATTTTGGCTGTCAGGTATTTTGTCTCAGCAATGAGAGAAAAATAACAGCAGTGGTGACAGCCAGGGTCTCATTGTATATTCCAGGCTGGCCTTGAAATTTGGCAATTTTCCTGCCTCAGCCTCCTGAGTGCTGAGATTACAAGTATGCGCTGCTGCATCTGGCTACACACTGAATCTTTTTTACTTTCTCTTCCTTCCCACCTCCATCTCCAGATCCCCTTCCTACTTGTAAAAGGTGACTTCCCTTTTACTTTGCTGATTAAATGTTCTGATTTAATGTTCTCATAAAGAGAAACCAGGTAGTATTTACACTCGTGTATGTGATTTCTTTCACAAAGTGTTATGGTCCCAAAGTGCATCCATTCCCTACAACCGATTCAAACTGACTCCTCTTTGTAGCAGAGCAGCACTCCATTAATGTATGCATACATGTTCTGTAGCCAGTTATCTGTCCACAGACACTAGGTGACTTCCAGGATTTATGAACTGTGCTACCATAAGTATGGGAATGCATGTTACACTGTAGCACAATGTCTTTAGGGGCAATATTCAGCAGAGAAATAGCCAGGTTGAGTGGAATTGTTTTGTTTGTTGAGGAAACTCCAAACTGATTTCCACTAGTTTACATTCCCATAAACAAGGTGGAAGGGTTCCCCCAACCCCATCATGCCCTTGCCAGCATTTTGTTTTTTTAGCTCCTGATGATAGCCATTCTTCCTAGAGTAAGATGGAATATTAATATCGTTTTTGTTGTTTGGTACCGGGATTGAACTCATGACCTGTGCTAAGCCGGCAAGCCTGAGCCACTGCGCTAAGCCCCAGACCCTGGAATATCAGTGTTTCATGTGCATGTAAAACGTTTTTTTGGAGACAGGGTTTCACTATGCAGTTTCTGGCCTCAACTTCACCTCGATCCTCCGACCTCAGCCTCTCGAGTGCTGGGACTACAGGTGTGCACTGCATCCAGCCAAGTGCATGCCTTTAACAGCCACAAGACGAACATTTTCTCCTGTACGTATTAGCCAATTTCTCCTGTACGTATTCTCCTGAATGTATTAGCCAATTTCTCCTGTGTGTATTCTCCTGTAGGTATTCTCCTGTATGTACTTGCCAATTTCTCCTGTATGTATTCTCAATACTATATGTATTAGCCAATTTCTTCTGTACGTATTCTCCTGCTGAGAAGCATCTATTTTTTCCCAGCAGATTTTATCGGTACATTTTAGATATACACAATGATCACATTCACCATAGAGTATTCATTTGAAATGCTCATTTTTTTATTCTTTTACTTTTGGGGAATTTTTTTTATTTGCTGCTGAGGAAGAACATACATTCTGCTGTAGTTAGGCTGAACATTCCATAGATATTTATTAAATCCATGTATTTGAAGTAATGATTCAACTCCGATTTTTTTTTTTTTTTTTTTTTTTTTTTTTTTGGTCTAGTTGACCTATCTGAGACTGTGGGGACTGAGGTCTCCTACCATGCTGCATCAGTGTGTATCTTTTATATCCAGTAGCATTTGTTTTATGAAGCTGGGTATGCTGTATTCACACACATGCAGAACAGCTCCCTCTCCCGTTGGAGAGTTCCCATTACCAGTACGCAGTGACCTTCTTTGTTCTGATCAGTTCTGGCTTGAGGTCTACATTCTGTGAAAACAGTATCGCTATTTCTGCTTGCCTTCACACTCCTGCTGCAGGAAAAATTGTTTTCCATCCTTTGTTTTAATCTAAGGGCTTCTTTAAGTAATAAGTGTATTCAAAAAAGGAAAAAGACAAAAAAATATTAAGTATATTTTTCATATCCAGCACACCACTGGATTCTGTTCTTTAATCCATTCTGCTACTCTGTGTCTTTTCACTGGGGAGCTGAGACCACTTGCGTTGAGAGAGATTACTGAGCTGTACACCAACTCCTGTCACTGTGGTGTTTTCCTTGCTGATTCGTTTCTCCCTCTTGCTTAACTGCTTATCCTGCTTGTTACACACATTCCAGCAGGCCCTTTGGCATTGTCTCTGTCTGGGATATCCTTGAGTATTTTCTGTAGTGCTGGTTTGGCAGTCATGAAGTACTTCATGAAGGTGTCCTTTATTGTGGAAGGTTCTAATGTCTCCATTTGTTTTTTTAAAGGACAGAGTCTCGGACTTCCAGGAGAACATGGCGGACAGATAGCAGCTATGGAGGCTCTCTGAGTTAGCCAACTTAGAATCCAGGAATGGTGTGGTGTGAGGAGTCCTAAGCAAGGGAAGATATACCCTGCCGACCCAGGAATGAACTGAGCTGACAGAAACCAACAGGAAATGCAATCCCGGAGCTATAACCACAACAGATAAAATCTCAGTGCTGAACCTGAAACCCGTGCCTCTGGAAGTTGTGATTTGAATTTGCTGCTGCGTCTGAATCGGCACAGCAGGAACAAAGAGGTGAAACCTCTGAGAGCGGGAATCGGCAAACAGAGTTGAGAGTTGGACTGGCAGGGAGCCCTGTATCAACCTGCAGTGAGTGAGAGGAATGGGGACCCTTCCATAGATTAGGAGGCTCCAACAGAGGACATTTTGGGACCTGGCAGACTAGCCGGAACAGGACGCTGCAGTGACTTTAGTCTCATATTTCCCTCTCAAGTGGGTTTGGTGGGGAGCACTTGGCCTGGGTGATGCCGCAGACTAAGACCCAGTAGGCTAGCCCAAATCAGGTCCCAGCACCTGGCGGTGCACTCAGCAGTGAAGCCTTCAGCAGGTTGACCTGGAGGGGTGGGCCCAGCAGAGGCTGCCAGGTCTGTGTCTCCCCAGTACACTGCAGTGGGCGGGAACACCTAGCCAGCACAATTGAAACAAACTGTAACCGACAAAGAAAGAAACTGGGCCTCCTATATACGCTTGTATGGAAGGAACAAAAAGTATGGGAAGAGGGAGCAACAAGAAAGGGTCCTCGGCCCCCAATCCTGAGAACACTGATCCAGGAAAGGTAAATACAAAGGAGAATGAGGACAGAAAATATGCAATATCAGACACAGCACCAACAGATATAAAGCGGTACCTCCAGAGCCTCGTAGATGAGTTCAAAAGTGAAGTATTTAACGACCTAAAGCAAGATATAAGTAGAATAGTTAGAGAAATGCTAAGCACCGCCCAAGAAAAAACAGATGGTGGAATGGAAGAACAGAAAAAAAGGGGAGAATTCTTTGATGGAGATAATAGAGAAAACGTAGAATACGTGAGGCAGGTTCAAAGAGATTACCAGGAAACTAAAAACTCTATTGAAAACTGGCATAACAGCTTGAAAGAAACTAAGGATAGATTATCTGAACTGGAGGACAGATATGTAATGTGAGAGCATGAAATGAAAAACTTCTTAAAAATAACAAGAAAACAAACAGCAATAATACAAAGGCTTGAAGATGATAAGAGGATCTATAACTTAAGAATTAAGAATGTAAAGAAAGAAGTAGGGACACAAACAAATGAACTACAAAAGCTATTCACAGAAATAATCCACAATTTCCCTAATTTAGCAAAAGGTAAAGATACTCAGATGTATGAAGCATACAGGACCCCAGCCGCCTACAACCCAAACAGAACTACACCCAGGCATATAATAATCAAAATTCCAAAAATCCAATATAAGAACAGAATATTAAAAGCCGTCAGAGACAAGAAACAGATCACTTACACGGGAACATCCATCAGAATTACAGCAGACTTCTCGGCACAAACCATCAAATCACGAAGAGCGTGGAGGGAAATAATTCAAGCTTTGAAAGATAATAACCTCCAGCCAAGATTGATATATCCTGCACAACTGTCCCTAGAAATTGATGAAAAAACAAGGTGCTTCCAGGATAAAGAGGAACTAGGGGAATTTGCAACCACCAACTCAACTCTACAGAGAATACTGCAGGACATTCTAAAAAAAGAAAAATACCAAGATTTCAGAAACAGTGGCAGGGAGGCCACAATGAATGGAGGAGAAAGCGAAATGAAGACGACAAACTGACAACTAATGACAGAAAAAGAGCTCAACAGAAATGAGGCAGAGGAGTTTGGATGGTAGGAACAGCTATTTTGGAGAAAACAAGACATCATTATAGCTAGTGCTGATTTAATACAATCTTGTTTTGAAGTCCCATCAAGCTTTTGTTCTTCTGTCTCCATCGGTCTTAATTATGTTGTATCTTATTGGATTTTATTATATGTGATAATATAAACAAAAACTTTTATAGACAAGGAGATTATACAGAAACCATTGTTCATTTTCTGTTAATTGGTTCTAAATACCCTGTAATACTGTCATTCTCTTAAATGGTTTTACATTGTCTTGATATGTTTGATGCTACAGTATACGAAGTTATACTCAAAGATTTCAAGGAAAGAGACACTATAGTAACTACTTTTATGTCAGGATATCTTGTGGTGAAACACTATTTTGCTTAAATGGTTATATTCTGACCTGTGCTGTTGTGTTATGTCCTCTTTTATCTCAACCTCATTTTTTATTATTTATTTTATTTTTATCTTTTTAATTAAGGGAAAAATTTTAAAAAGCAGGATATATTATAGTAACCCACTTTCATTTCCTATTAACTTGATTTGAAACCCTGTATTGCTCTCACCATCTTGTTTTGACTGATTTTCCTCTATTCTGTTTTGCTTGATACTACCAAGTTCGAGAGTATAGGCAACAACTGTGAAGACAATACGATTCATTATGACACCCATTTTGGTTTGACTATTATCTTCTTTTGAAGTCTTGT